CAGAACAAAAAGCTCCACATGATGGAGATATGTCAGATGGACACAGGAACCAACTGAAAGAGCACCCAATAGTCAAAGCTGGAAGAGTTTGAACAAAATAAGACGGTATTGAATTATAACCCCAAGTATACGAACAATGTTGATGAGTTCATATTGATATAAATGATTGAGTAAATAGGTAAATGGGTGAGAGCAGATAAGTATATGATGTGGAAGAATTCCAAATAATTCGTGAAAATACTCCTCCCCTCAAGGAGGAGGGAGCATAACTCCCTAACCCTACAGTGTTGGCTGTGTATAGTGACTTTCTTCCATAGAGTACAGTATGGAAAGGGGTTGTAAAGTGACCTTACAGTGGAGAAATCTGACAAACATTGCCTCAGCCAACTGATAAAGGTCAACATCAGCAGTGATAAATCATGTTGATAGTATGTACCTTTGATATGAGATGATAAAAACGGCACTTTACCTCTCCTGTCTCCCCCAGACTAATAATCTCAGTACATCAGACAAATCCTGGTGAAGGACCTTTTAGAAAATACCTGATCAATATTCCTCAAAACTGCCAACGTCATGAAAAACCAGGAGAATCTGCAAAATTGTCACAGCCAAGAAGAACTTAGGGAGACATGTTGACAAAATGTGATATGGTATCCTGGATGGGCTCCTGGAACAAAAAATCATCACTGGGCAAAACATTTTAAAATCTGGATAAAGTAGGGATTTTTGTTAGTGTATCAATATTGGTTCATTAATTGTAACAAATGTCCTATACTAATGTAAAATGTTAATAAGAGGGGTAACTAGATGTGAAGCATATGGGAATTCTCTGTACTATCTTTACATTTTTTTGTAAAAGATAGAATTTATTTAAAATTAAGCAATTTAACTCATTATGTATTAATCCACACATAAAAATGGTTATAGGGCCATTAACTACAAAGAGGAGTGAAAAGAGTTCTATGAGGAGCACAGTAATACCAAATGAAGGGAGGAGGTACTGTAACCAGGAAGAGAAGCTTTTGTAGTGTTCCTCTAGTGCTCTCTATTTACAAAGCCTTACACTGCAGCAGATGGCAAAAAATGTTTGTAGGGTCCAGCTCCAGTATTGCAAAGCAGAACAAATAAAGGTGGGTTTGGAGATGAGGGACAATAAATTGATAATTGGAACAAGGCTATAATGAGAATGAATTAAATTACTCAAAAGAGAGTATAAGGATTGAGAAGAAAAGATGCTTAGGGAAACCTCTGGGTAACACTAACAGGTAAGGAATACAGGGAGGGAAAATATATCTGAAAGGAAAGGAAGAAAATCATGTGGTCTGTTGAGAGAGAGTTTCAGGAAGTGTGTATTGCATTTAGTAACATTGATATTATTGCTCAGTTTGGTGAAGCAGCAATTATGCAGTGAGTTTGTAAGAGTGAATGAAATTGATGTGATTAGATGCAGTGACTACAAGTGATTTTTCCAAATTACCCTTGGCTCTAAAGTTGAGACCTAGATTAAGGTGGTAGCTAGTATTAACTTAACACATTCCCTGCCCAGTTTTTTTTTTAATGTTGATTAAAGAATGTAAATTCCATCAGGGCAGGAATGTTTGTTTTGTTTATTGCTTTATTCCCAGTAGTTAGAATGGTTCCACATATGTTCAACATATATTTCTTGCATCACTAAGAAATAGTTGAGCATTTCAGTAGAGGGAGAAGTTGAATATATAGCATTTCCAAGGAATGTTTTATTGAACAAGGTTTCTGAGGAAATAAGAGAGTATTGAGGAAATGTCAAGAGGAACATTGTTAAAATGTCCAGCGTTGGCATTATTGTTGTACAAAATACTATATCAATTTTTTTTTCCTTTTTGTCTTTTTTACTGACCGGCAACGGGATCGCAACCCTCGGTGTCGCGCCCGCACCGGGGACCGGCAACGGGATCACAACCCTCGGTGTTGCGCCCGCACTGCGCTCAGCCAGTGAGCGGGAACCGGTTTCCATATGGGATCCAAACCCTCAGCGGGAGCGCCGCCGCGCTCCCAAGCGGTGCACTCTGCAGTGCGCCACCGGGCCGGCCCCTATATCAATTTTTTAAACTTTATTTTCTTACCTTATATATATGATCGTATGTTTTGATGTTTACCCTTTATTTTTATCACTGAAAACAAATTGTAAAGCTTCTTTTGGTTAGGGATTATATCTCTTATCTGTAGTAGTGCTAAATACCTTTCACAGGATAAAACATAATTTGAGATCATTTTTATAAAGCAAAGTAAGCCTGCATTTAATATAATTTTTCTTTATCTTTTTATTTAGTCTACAAATAAGAAACCTCGGAAGTCTCCAGGAGAGAAGAGCAGAATTGAAGCTGGTGTTAGAGGAACAGGTCGTGGAAGAGCAAATGGGCACCCTCAACAGAATGGTGAAGGGGAGCCTGTCACACTATTTGAGGTCGTGAAACTGGGGAAGAGTGCAATGCAGGTAAATTTTAAGTGTTCTTATTTCACGTATAAAGCCATAGTTAGTAACCTAATGTGGAATCTGTTAGTGTATATATATGTACACTTTATATACTCTTGTTGATTGCATAATCAAAATGTTTATCCTTAAAGGTTTTAGTTCTCGTTTGTTTTGTAAAGAGCATCAGGAAAGGCATTTTGTTTAATAGTAAGATATACTTTAGATTAAATTGTGCTGAGTACAATGACCTGTGTATAATAGTAGCTGCCTAAGAGGATTTTTATTGGCTTGATATATTTTTTAGAATGTGATTTAATATAAGTAATGCATGTGTGTTACAGAGTATTTGAAAGAAGAAAGGGCATTAAAAAAGCATTCTTAAGTAGTGAATTAGGAATAACCGCAACTACTATTCATCGTTATTTTGTATATGTATGTCATATTTGATAACCTTACACTATTTTATCTATCCTCATTTACTCAACAAATTTTATTAAGTATTCCACAAGAGCACGATTTTATTGACTTCTTACTAATTCATTACAAGAATGAACCATAATTATTTTACTGTTCCTTTAGAAGGTCTTTACGTTCTTTTCACTACTATAAAACATTCATTATTCATGTTTACCTCTCTACATCTCTTTTCATTTTAAAACACTAGAGGTAGAATTATTTGGTCAAAGCGTATTTTTTAAACTGTGTGATACATAAATATTCATATTTCTCTACAAAAAAAAAAATTGTCCTAGCTTCCTTTCATCAGAAGTGTAGCATAATGCCCACATTTCCTTGTATTATTGCTAGAAATTGAGTATTTTGTATTTTGAGAATTATTTGATAATACAGATGAAAAATGGTAATTCATTATTTTAATTTGCATTTCGTTGATATCAGTGATTGACAGTATGTGAAATCTTTTTATTTGATATTTATTTGCTCATTTTTAATTTCATTCTCAATATGAGTCTGAAACTAAAACAGACTTTTCATTAGTATACTTTGTATTTTTAAGCTGCATTTCTTCTTGAAGCCCTTAAGGGAGTTAAGTGTTTACTGCTTCTTATGTATGTCATCAGATTGATGTGTTCAGGGGTTTTGGAATTTGGTTGGGCAGGGAGGGAGGTGGAATAGTGGGATGATGCTAAATGGTAGAACAAATATTGAAGTCCCGGTTATCTAAAGCAATGGATGATAGTCTGTAAATTATATAAGTATAATTTAAAAATAAAGTGACCTTTAACCATTAAGCATGACAATTTCTTCTTTATACTTTATTAGAATTATTAACAAGCTACAGAAATATTAATTTTTGAGATCTACTTTATTGCTTCCCCTCTTTAGGTAGAAACACAAACAAGCAGAAAATAAGGGGAGTGAATTTCTATGTAAAATTTTAATAATTGCATTTCAGTATTTTGCTTTTATTTTCCCATGTAAAACTATTTTTCCAGATATTTGTATATGTAAAGATAATTTTAATGCACATTGTATTAAAGCTTAATACCTGCTTTTATTTAATATGAACAAAATCTTATCTATATTTGAAACAAAATATTGATCAATACAAGTATTTTCTCTCTCATCCACTATGTTCTATTCTTCATCTAGATTACTATTCCCTGTACACACGGTTTCATTACTATTCAGCTTATAATTTTCGGATCCATATTTTCTGAAACATAAGGATTAGTAATCAGCACGATGGGGTCTTTCATAATTTGGTTTTAATCCGCTTTTTCATCTTTTTCTCGTTATCCCTCTGTTGAAGTGTGACCCAAACATTTTTTTTATTTTGCTGTAGTTTTTTATTGTTTATTTTATGTATTTTTCCCTTACTAGCTATTTTCAGATTAATCAAAAACTTCTATATATATATATATATTTTTTTTCACTCAGTCTATTGTGGGCATTTTTTCCTATACATTTACCTTCTAATTTTTAATGTCTGCATACTACTCTTTAACATGGCTAGGTCATGGTTTATTGAACTGGTTTTTATTTAGACTGCTTGCAGTTTTATTCTATTAAAAATAGTATTTTAAAAATAATTTCATATATCCATCTGAAATGTATATGTAGGAGTGTTTTGTAACAAATTATGGAAGTGGCTGCTGAGAAAAAGGAATGAATGTTTAAAAAATTGTGGGTCTTCCATTGATGGTGGCACAGTAATTTCACTGTTTATTCCATGCTTGCTTCAAACATAATGTAGTGATAACATAAAATATTAAAAAAGAAAATACAAATAGACATCAGTGACTTTAGAAAGAAGCTAAATATTTCTATGGTTTGTAAGGAAGGAAACTATAAAGTGATGAATGGATTGAACTAGAGTAGAGAGAGAGTCATAAACTTGTAGCCAGGAGTTTGGCTCTTATGCCTTGAAAGGACTAAAAGTACTTCATGAAGAATAGGAAAGTAGAGTCAGGCTTTGTACATGAAGCCAGGGCCTAACATGGGTCTCCCTTCTTATAAAGGAGGCTGAAGAAAGCCACCAATAATTACTGCATGTTTAATGTGATCATATATCTCAAGTTGCCCTTGAGACTCTCAGTTAATGCTTATTGTCCATGTAGATATTAATAGAGACTCCTTTAATACTGAGAAGGGCCATAGTGTGGATGATAATTAATATTAAAACACTACATCAAGAGCTGATGGGAGAGAATACAGACATAGTTCTTATAACCAGCACATGAATTGAAATGTCAGCTGACTTGGTTGGTGACTGGGTCTGTGAAAATTCCCAACGTTGTCTTAAGGAAGGAAGTTCCAAGCCTACATTATATGATCTGGGTCTGCAGGGGAGTGCTCAGGATGAGCAGAAATGATCACAAAAATATTAGATGGGGAGGGATGAATAATGAAAAGTCTGTATAAGATGCTAAAGGGATGAAAAGAAATTCTATATAATAAAAAATAGGATATATGAAACAAGAATAGAAATGCAAAAGGAACAGGTCTTGAAAAGTGAAAATAAATTG